CCGTGAGTATCATCATCTCATATCTATGAGATTAGTTTTATATGGAAGGTGTCTTGTTGTTGAACTGTATTAGTTCTGCCCTATTATGGATTTTGGCTCTGAGTCCTTTCAAGGAAAGGGGGCACTGCGTCTCTTCTGTAACTGCTTCCTGCTGATTGGGGCGGCAAGGGGGTTGGGCAGAGACCTGAGGTTCTCTTTGTCTGATGAAAGAAGGAGGGAGCCAAAAGGGGAAAACAATTTTAAGTGATGCAGATAGACCATGCATGTTTCATTGACTCAATCATAAGTCCAAACCTCTGAGTCTGTTTTCAGGATACAGTGATGCAGATGGCTTCTACAGTGAGGCCTATACTGTATGAGTAAGCAATTAGGTAAACAGGGACATAGGCATACATTCTATGAAACAGAAGAACACAAAACATAAAGGTTAATGTATATAGTAAATCATAAACCAGTTGAGAAGATTTCCAGATGTAAGGCTTTCACTGGAATTAAATCACACAGTGACAATCTGATAGATTGTCTGCAGTTAGAACATTTATGGCAATGTCATCAGGTGCTGAGGCATGTATGGCATACACAGACACAACATTAACACAAAACTTTGAAGACAGTTAACTGTGTTGGAGTTCAATACCTACAATTGGGTATTGTGGTTTCTATTGAAACACAATTTTTCTCCCTAATATTACGGTCATTTTCAAAGACCACAATAAGAATAGTAATTGATCAGATAGATAATATAGGCTCTATAAATTTGCTTTGCTGGAATTTCACAAGGAATCTTCATATTGAGCTTTGGTAAGTCCCTCAGGAAGTAGAAGCCAAGCCACACAGTTGCCACCTGGCTTTGCCTGTAAAACCTATAGGTTTGGGTGGATTCCTCAAGTTTTTGAGGTCCCCAAAAGTGTCTTGAGGTTCCTCTTTGCTATCTTTCAGGATAGCAACCTTCATTCATTACCTGAAGAGACTGCCATGAACCATGTGACCAAGCAAGGTACCAGGCTATTTCTCCAAAGGGCTTTATCAGCTTCAAAGTCAATCTTTATTCCTTAAAGCTTTCTGGTGACATCCAGAGTCCTGGCATATCTCTTTCAGACATGACATTCCAGTCAAAGTCTTGGTTAATAAAACCATACTTGGAAAGTGGCATTATGTCCTGTTATGAAGCAATCAGATTCTTACTGGATTTATGCAACCAAACATACTGCCATGAGAATAATAATACTCATTAAAGGTTTCCAAATTGGTGACTCTGGTAGGATCATTAGTGCTATCAGATTCATTACAAACAGATATGTAGGCAGAAAGTCAAAACAGGAGTCTTAATACTTTCTGACTAAGCAATAAAATCAAGTCACTTCTATAATAGTAAAGTTATAAAGTCAGTGATGTCATAACACTGAATTAGTGATTACAATGCTTATGATTATATTATGACTTTAGATAAGTAAAATAATTTTCTGCAGCATTCTAATAAATCTCATTTTCTGAAACAACAAATAACTAATATAATATCCCCAAACAAACAACATAATAAGCATAGCCTAGACATGAAAGGTCCCATTTCATATCATTTTAAAGTTAGGATGTTCTAGAGGAACTCACTGCAACAAAACTATCCAGGACCATTTTACTGGCAACAAGTTTCAGAAAAAGACTGTATTTGACAGGAGGCACCTTTACCTTAATTTGGTTTAGTATTTATATTTTTAGAATATTCAGAGTAAAGGTTCATAAGTATCTTCTAGCTTTACCCAACCTAACAAGATATAAGGACTAGTTCAGGGCTTTAGCTTCTCAAAGCATCACTGGCAACAATCTCTCATTTGTTTCAGTGTTCCTCAGTAAATCTGTGAAATTGTTAGCCTTTGGTTTCAATAACAATATGTAGTCAGTGCTGAATTAAAGTATATAGGACTTATAATTTTGTCTCCACTCTGCTCTTTGGGTTATAATATTGCATGTGTCTTACATATTAATGTCCAGTTAATGCATTCTGCAAAATGTCTTCCTACTGGTTCCCCATCTAGAAGCCATTTCCGTCTTTTTTTTTTTTTTTGGTCAACAACCCTACTTCTGCTTAGTTATGTAACCAAAAGATGCTCAGGGAAGGTGGGTCTATCTTCAGGGGGAGAATCATAATTGGCCTAAGCTGTTCTTGCTTAATTTATTCACCTCTGCCAGTGACTGGTTTAGGTGTGGGCATATGACCAATTCTGTCCAATAAGCCACAAAGGGAAGTATATTGAGGCTTTTAGATTTTTCTTTCTGATAAAAAGAAAGAAATGCACGAGGCAAAACTTAATGCCTTACATAAGGTGATTGTGTAGGATGCGATGATTGGAGCTGTGACAGCTCAGTTGTGACCTTGAGAGGACAAGCTTGAGGGCAGATGCCAACATTCTGAGGATGGCAAAAGGGAAACATAGAAAGCCCTTGGGATTCTGATGAACTGCTGTGTAGCCATATGAGCTAGTTTTGGAAAACCTCCAGACTTCTGTGACAGATAATAACCCCTATTGAATAACCACTTTCAGTAGAACACTTTGAAAGAATCATCATCTCTACAACTGGATGGAAATGCATGTACCTCTAGACTATAT